TCACAGTAGACCTCACACAAAAGGATGCACTGAAAGCACCAGGCACCACTGAATACATTGAAAGAACCTGCAATGTGTCATAAGTACATGGAGTAGTTTTCTTTTCCAAATTAAAATTTTACTATACTTCTGTCTATGAGGCATCTGGAATGACAGGCTTCTAGCTGAGCTGTATCACTGGTCAATATGGCAGATAGAGAAATGCCACTGTCTCTCCGAGCCAGTCCTCTTGTCTGTACATTAACATCACATGGCTGTAGCTGTAAGATCAAGAAACACCGCTGGATAACTCTCAGTATTGCATGCAATATGTGAAGAAGCCAGCTGCCCATTTCTTATACTTCTACAAAAATAAAAATGAATGTTAGCCAGAAACAACAAAAAACTAAGTTGCAGTTTTGTTGTTTCTGGCTCACATTTATTCTAAGTATTGACTGGATTGCCTCAGACCAAATGAATAATATATGTTAATTCTTATGTTGAGTTTAATTCCAGTTTATTCCTACAGTCTACCAGCAGCCACTATTTTGAGATAATGCATTTGCAAAGAAAAAACAATGAAAGGTTTAGCAGATTTAGTCATGCATCACTAATGTGTACTTTAAAGACTTCTATATGATGTCTAATTATCTTCCTCTCTATCCTCTAAGATAGTAATATGTCAATCTGTGCCAGATGCAGACTCTAGTGAAACTGTGTCTAACTGCCCCCCTTTTTATGTTTTAGAGTAATTTCCTTTTTGTATGTTTGGCAGCTTATCAAGGATGACTCAAAATTGGATCCTTACTATCCACTCATCTAATTGTCCTGCTTCTACAGTGAATTCATGGTTGTGCTATGCCTTTACTCATTTCTTCTTTTACTTCTAACTGGCATTTACTCGACCATCTACTGCTAAGAAAAGCTTCTGTAAAGTAAAGGAATGCTATGTCGTGAGGCTGTTGCTATTATTACTAGAAGACGCAGCAATGACATTGTATCAGCTTAATGTTTTGATTGTCTAATTATGTTCACACATACAGGAAATATTTGACTTCCGCATTTAACCCATGCATGAGCAGTGACCCCGCATGCACGCACGCACGCACGCACACGCACGCACGCACGCACGCGCGCACACACACACACACACACACAGGAACAATGGGCAGCTGCGGTGCTGCACCTCAGGAGCAGTTGGGGGGTGGGGGGGTGGGTGCCTTTCTCAAGGGCACCTCAGCCGTGAATGCGATGTTCATTCACTGTTCATTCCCCGACCAACATTTAGTCCTGCTCATCCAGGGATTCAAACTGGCGACCTTTCGGTCCTAAGCCTGCTTGTCTAACCTCCAGGACATGTCATTCACACAATTCTGGATTTTGTGTATGTTCTGTTCTTAGCTCTGTTTGGATTTGCTTACACTTGTTGGAAACACACTATTAGACATATATATATTAGAGGATATATGTTTCTATAGATTTTAGTTTCTGGTTTTAAGTCTCATACTGTTCTTATTATACTGTGGATATAATGTATTCATAGAACATGAGAAATGTGGTTATTCATATACTTTTATATGTCATTTCAACAATATGCAGGTTTCTGATTGTCTGCGTCAGTGCAGGTCTATCTGACTTCTCCACATTCAGCCACTCTCATTTCTCTACAAACTGAGCTCTTTCAGCATTTAAGAATGAGCCCATTTTTGTTTCTGGCTGCCAGGACTCTGCTGCATTCTGGTTTCAGTTTCATCATCTTATCAGCAGTAATAAAGGACAAGAGCAGCAATCCAATTTATCCTCCGCATTCAGACTGTCTTGCAAGACTTTCCATTTAGCATATCATCAGAATTTTGTTTTACTGACTAACAACTAAATAATTCAAGTTGAGGATATGTTTTCACACATTACACTCTCTGATCAGGAGGATGGCTAAGGTGTCTACAGGTCCTCATATCACAGTACTAGCTAGTATTTTTGTTTGTATTCACAAACAGGATATGTTCTTATCCAGAATATCATGTTTACATTGCCAAAGACATAGTCAAGATTCCCACATTAACCATGTAAGTGTGCATGTATACACACAGAGTGTGTTTGAACTTCCATTCAAACAATGCATCTCATTATTAAACTAGTGTTGCTTCAGTTCCCTGATGAGACATATTTATTATTACATAATAATTGACTGAACCTGGGTTTCTGTTGCTGGTCATGTCAATGTAAAGTAAGGGTGTAATTGCTTTTATATGTTGCCCCAGGTTAGGGTACTTCATCTTTTCTCAACCTGGCAAAGCTGACAGACAACTAAGCTCAGCTTTACATATGAAATTACTGGTCCTGAGACCAAGCCAAATATCCCTATTGGAGAAACATGCAGAATCATAACCTGAAATGTAGTCATTATCATGAATCCAGATCATATATGGCAGACAGAGCCCTATATGCTCCACTACTGACCCTGAATCCCACCTTTTCTGCCCCCAGAGGTTAAGCCTGTCAGGTTGACAAAATGTAGTTTATCATCCATGTGTATGAGACACCATCTTTCGGTTTAATTGGTACATTTCCGTATTAGCCCTCAAACTGACAGAAAGGCGGATAAATGTAAGGGTGTTTAACTCTGTGATAGAGATATATTTTTGCCATGGTTTGTTTATGTGAGAAGACTGGTGTTGACTACTTGTGTGGGTAAGATATGAGAGGAATTTCTGATAGGAATTTCTAATGAGAGGTAGTTCAAGTTATAGAGGTTCAGATGTCATCTATATGGGTATTTCTTAAAAGCCTTTATCATTTAAGTGCAGCTTCAACTGAAAAGGAAAAGCCTTGAGTCGGGTTTTACATCAGAGGCAGGCAACTCTAAAATATGCAACATACACAGTGAATAAGAAGAAATCTATCATCAACATCAGTTGGAGTGTGAATCTTTTAAAGCAGAGACACAGAACATGGCTTTTTATACCAAGACACAAACAAGTCACAGACGTTTCCACGCGTAATTGCAGTCGCTGCTCTTGCACTTATTCATTCCTTTGTAAGGAACCTGATCTTTAATCTGACTAACTTTTTGTTGTCTCTTATAAACATCATATCACATATATAGTTCCACATCCTAGTTCTTAATCCCACTGGGCAGTTGTCTGAAATATCAACTGAACTGTATCCAATACACAGTTGGGACAGTTTTAAACATCTTCTACTGCGGGGGGGGGGGCCTTAGGTTCGTGCCTGAATTTTCTCTGACATGATCCTCACTGGAGCTTTTTGAGATCTCATTCTACACATGCAGAAGACTGTTTTAAGATCAGGAAGTGTGGCCACAATTATGCTCTTGTTTTCCTTTGCACTGTTTACCCATCTCCATCTCTAAATGTTGCTCATATCCAATTTGTGGCTGCAGTGCATCCAGACTGCATAAATCCTAATAAACATACAAGCCCTACACTTTCTCTTTTGTACCACTTAATGCATCATGGCAAAATTGGCTGATAAAAGTCACATGAAGGCATCCAGTATTACCATATCTTTGTCACTCATCTCTACACAAAACAGTAAAATTATTGTTGTCATTACTACAATTCAATTTGTCACCAGTAGATGGGAATATAACAAAACCAGCTCGAACTAATGCATTTGGGAGAGTTGATGGCATAATAAGAAAAAACAAAATCATTAATTTTGTCTAGTATTTAAAGCAGTAGTTTTCTTTCATGTCTGTTTGGTAAACTGTGGCCAACAGCTGGCTAGCTTAGCTTAGTTTAGCATAAAGACTGGACAGGGGGAAACAGCTATCCTGGCTTTGTCAATGGGTAACAGAATCTGTCCACTAGGACATCTAAAGCTCACTAATAAGCACAGTATCTTGTTTATACAAAAACTGAAGTGTAAAAACAACATAAAATTTCACTGTACAGATGGGAGAGTTAATCTTCTCATTTAACTCTCAGGAGCAAGTAAATTCCTTTAAAAAAGAAAAAAAAAAAAAATGTATAGGCGACCGTACATGTCAGCATTTGATACCTGAAAGTGAAGCACATTATTCGTCTCCTCAAAGACTCATTTTCAAACATTTGCTCACAAAGAAGTTGGTTTTGAATGCAAATTGATATGCATCAAATATTGACTGCTGCAATTTGGGAACGTTTTGAACTTTAAACCCTTCAAATGGATAACTCACCCAGTTTATTATGACTCAGCTGAACCATTTTGTTTGGCTGCAGTCAGTGTTCTCCATATACATTGACCTATCTACCAAAAAATAAATAAATAAATAAATGAAAAATAAATAAAAAATTTGATCATGGAAGATTTTGACCCTCTAAGGTTATACAGCGTACTGAGTCGCTGAAAGAGCAGACTCAGTGCAGTGAGGCCCTCAAAAGACCGTTCACTGCGATGAGCAGAAAGAAAATCTAATATGATGAACAGTTGACCTTTCATGATTTGGAAACAGTTTGTATTTTTCCACTCCATGTAATTGCATTACAGTTCATTTTCCGGTCAAGAGACTTTGTAAAGATAGACTTAAGAAAGAGGCAGCAGCAAAGAGAGCTGCATAGCACTGATTTACATGTTGCAGAGGTGGTAAGATAAGCCTCTGAACTGTTTCCTGAGGCAGGCCGGAGCAGAATGCACCAAAATACTAAATATCATGAACACCACTTCTTAAATCCCTTATTAGTTATTTCTAGTGATTTTATTCAAAGTCGGCTACAGGCTCTGTTTGTTAAGTACGCAAGTAGCCTAATAAAACTTGCTTTGTGAATAATTTATTAACTTGTTTCTTTGTTTGTCAAGACTGTATGAGGTGTGTATGATAAAAGAAATAATTTTAATTGGAAAATATCAGCAAATATGCAGATGGGAGCAGACTGTTTCTTCAGCTGACCAGTTGTAAGTCATGTAACACACACGCACACACACACACACACACACACACACACACACCCACACAAAGGTGAAGCCTACTGAATCATCTAACCTCGATTCGCTGTTTTTCCTCCCCCTTCTGCCCACAGCCGTCACCCTGTGAATGGTGCCGCTGCGAACCAAATAATGAGGTGCACTGTGTGGTGTCCGACTGCGCCGTCCCAGAGTGTGTCAACCCTGTGTACGAGCCGGAGCAGTGCTGCCCCATCTGTAAAAACGGTAAACAGTCATCTCGTCTGAAATTCAACACACATTAAATTTTCATTAAACCAATGATGGCAAGTTTATCTGTGGTATCGCCATTTGATGACCGCGCCTTTAGAGGATGAGGATGTAATTGATGTTTTATGAATTAAAATTATTACCTTGGGCCCGTTGTAGACTAATGAGCAGTACTAGTTTTAATTATAAATGACACACTAAGCAGAGTAAACATTAGCCCATTGATTAAAGGCATGGTGGGACGGACTAATGGGTCCTCTGAGAGCCTTTTATCTCACAGTGCCCTGGTGCCCTTGTCACACACAGCCAATCCCTAAATTAGAATTATAGGATTCCAATGGTTCATTGGCTATTTACAAGGCGAGGTGGGAGATGTCCCTTTGCCAGCACCAATCCTGAGGGACAGATGGAGCTTTATGACAAAAGTAGAGTAACTACTTGTCTGCAATGTGATCTTGGCTGAGTACAGACAAAACAGAGTGTTGCATTGTTCAAAATCAAAGAGTTTTACTCTGTCATTTTATAATAATCACATCAAAGCGTCAGGTAATTAGAGAGCTGGAAGAGCTTGCAAAGAAAGTTTTCTTGAACTCAAATGAGAACCTGATTCTTGTTTACTGCATTCAGTCTTCTCATTATGTGAAGTGCCATGCCTAAAATGGAGAACCTGTTTATGAGCATCCCTTTTGAAAGAAGTCAAAATAAATTTCCTGAAATATATATATTTTTTTATTTTAAGCAGAGGTTGACTTTTAAAGAGAGGAATTGGGTTTGAGGTGGATACTAAATGGCCATTTCACCACAAGTACCCACATTTTTTTTCCCACACTTTCTCTCATTTCCTCCTCATCCCCCTTGCTTTCTTTCTTTTATTTCAACACACATACACACACATAAAAAACACCCACACTAACAAGGCTGCCGAAGCTGCTAGGAGAGAGCTAATCCAGGCTGACAGGACACAGTGACACCCTTGGCATTTCAGGGTAGGCCTGCCGTTTCTAGGCTCCCTAAGGGCGCCTGGTCAGGCTCTGGCAGCCAGATAAGTCTCTATGGGAGTGGATGGCTGAGGACTGTGAGGAGAGGACAATGAAGGAATACTGTTTAGCTCTCATTTTTGGCCAAGGGACAGGGAACTGTGAAAAGAAGACATTCACTTATGTGCCACATTTGTCTTTTACTATATCTGCTGCATGTGTTGGTGTCAAATAATTATGTGAAATGTGCTTTTAAAATGCCAGTGTGTTTTTTGCATTAATGTTGACCTGCCAGTGAAAGAAGACAAGACGGATATACTATACTTATAGCAACAGTTAGTAGTTTGTGGGGGTTTCAACCCCAGACTAACCACAGTTATTTAACTCATGCCACAAGGTTCATAATTTTTACTGAAAAGCTTTTCTCATTTTACAGCCATGCCAACAACTCTATGAGATTGCACTTCGTAGCTAAATGCTAACCTCACCTTGCTAACATGCACAAAATAACAATGTTATTATGCTTATGTTTAAAATTTCAAATGTCTAACATTTGCAAATTTACACTAAACACAAAGCACAGCTGAAGCTGATGTGGGTCATAAACCAAACTGTTGGACAAATGAAAAGCTTAAAAACGTTTAATTGTTGACAACTAAACATTAGCTTAACTTTTAAAAATAAAACTGATGAAAGCGTCGTTTTTCTACTTTTATTGTCACATCCTCCGCCTATGGTGGAGGAACATTTATCCAAAACCCAAAATGTGTGACTCAGAGATGCTGATCTCACACAATTTAATGTGAGTCTAGTTCGAGAGGTGAAGAGGCATATGCTGTATGGATTACTGTATGTCTGCTGGGTTACTCAGTGTCATGATTGACGGGGCTGTTGCATCTGCAGACAATCTCTGCTGCGTAGGAGGTTCAGCTGTAGTATCTGCACAGTGCATTTGCACTGTTCCAGCGTGGGTGAAAGGTCTGGATGAACCCACTCATACAAAGATAGTTAAAGAAGAGCTTTTGGGTTGTTAAATTTCAAAACCAGTTAGGATTTTCAAGGGCTTACTTAACTGTTACAGGCTGAAATGTTACTGAGAAATGTTTTGCACATTACTAATTAGTTCCCATTAATTGTAGGTTAAAACACGTCTGGATATTTGGGTTAAAATAGGGTTAGGTGTGGTTGGAGATTAATTTCTATAGTTCAAGCATGTAAGGAAGGTCCTAACCACATTTCAACATCTAAAAGATGTTTAAACTAAATGTGGCCTGCTACAATTTTTATGTATTTTAACCTGCAAATGACCAAATCAGTGGTTATGGCTTCCAACTTTTTTGTCAGAACCTTCCATTATATGGATGTAGCTTTTTAGTACGTCTGCTCCTTAGTGTTTCTGAAAACAGCAACAGAGAGCAGAAGGCAGCACAATGGACTAGTCAGCCAGTGGGAGTGCTTATCTCTGAGCTTCACATTCAATGAGTCCGACTGATTCAGCTCTAATCGTTATCATGAATTACATACTGTAAATGCATCGGGGGATACATGTAATTATATAATTCTCATGATGAAAATGATAAGTAGTAGTCTGAAAATGGGCAGCGTCTTCTTAGTACAATCGGATTAAACTATTTATAGATCTGCCGGAGGAGGGGTGTCATTGTGATTTTTTTGACAGACGTATCATTGAGTAGCAGTGCCATAGAGCTGGCTACAGTTGAGTAACAGATTCAGTGGACAAGCTGCCGTTTTTTTTTTCTTTCTGAACTGCAGGTTTTTGGCAGGTGAATTTGTATGAATCATTTCTTACCTTGAGGCAAGAATCCTATTTGAGCCAAATAGACTGTAATGAGTCCTAATATGAATTTACTCCTTAATCTGTAGTGAGGGAGAATATGATGCGCTGAGACAGTCTTGACACAGGACAAACATTTTCTGACTTCACTAAATTTTATTGGCCGTGAATTGATCACAGGCTCGGACGAGTGACCTCGTATCCTTCGAGCGGTGACAGGTACCTGAAACTGTGTCCTTGTGGCTCCGAATCTGTCTGGCTATAAACAATCACACTTGGCAGCAGCACCGGTCACCCTCTACCCCCATCAACCTCTACTGAGTTTGTCCTGTAACCTGTGCCAGCCATCCAGAGGCAGATCAATGAGAGTTAAGACTTGGCAAGCGCTCACAATGTCTCCTCTAAGCTCAGATCAAAGGGCTTTTATCGGGTCAGAATAAAGCATGGGAGTCATCTATGCTGAGGCAAAGGATGGGGATACTAGGTGGCCAACAGCTTCCTTTGTCAGGTTCACATGGATATTTATGGTCTCCTGCACTTTGGCAATATTGGGAGTTATTGCCAACCGTGTTTGTCTATCTTCAGTCTATTAAAACACCTGGTTAAGGCTAATTAAACGTCATGGTCTTTGTTAAATGATGGCATGCCCCATTTCATGCTTTGTGTCAGTGTGACTTTTCAATATTTAACCAAGAACACACTTGTCTACCTAACGTTAATCAAGTGCTTTGAGTTGCTTACATTACCATAAAAACATTAATAGGTCTGTTTCACTGCTGACATTTTGATATGTATTGATGAGGCAGCATGCACAATACCAGTAACCTGAAACTGAAGCAGCCAAATGGAATTCAGCCATCATTTATTTTATCTTATTAATTACACATATGCTTTTCCTACTGCAACATGTCAAAATGTCCTGGCCTGTAGTGTGCCCAAGTGGAGTAGTCGAGCAGACTTGCATGCAGCTGTCTTCTTTGTATCTGGGCTCTTCAGATCGACTAACCGTACTGTTACACATTTACACTGCTAGCATTAAGTTAGCCCATACTAAATCAAATTCACTGGGACACTAAGATGTCCATGAATACTGGCCGTGAAAGCTACTGTGTCTTCAAGAGTTATGAGACATATGAGTTTTTTATGACTCCTCATAGAGGTGTCTTGAATCTGGCAGGTTTTACAGAGCTGACTACTGAGAGCAATCCAAAGTCACCGTCACACCAATTGGGCTGCTGATTGCTTCATTTAAATGATTAAAACTGGGGTGAATTCCTGGCACCTTCTGGCTCTTCTGTCTCAAGAGGCGGAGGGAAAGATACACAGCCTCAAATCACCCCGAGGCAGGGAGAAGCAAATTAGATATAATATCAGGTGGTGTTTACCAATAATGAATGCACTGCATTCTCTGAAAACGTAACAGCGTTTTTTGGTTTCCTTGAGTACAGATCCTAAAATGTACCCCGGATAATCTGTCTCACCATCTGCTGAGATGATCAAATACATGGCTATGAGGTGTTCCAGTGGTGCACAATCAAACACGTTTTAGAATTAAAGGAATCTTATCAACAAAAAAGAATCCATGCAAGTAAAATCCTACACTGTTTTAAGGATAAATCAGATGTCAAAATTAATCTTTATTGTTTTGGAAGTCAGTACAGTGTGTGCGTGCGTGTGGAAAGAAACTCTGTAAGGAATTGCTAAGGAGTTCTGTGGCCTTTTCATACAGACTGAAGTGATTAACACCATTCTCCCTACTGCCTCTCAAAGCAGCTTTCTTTCTCTCTTCCTCTGTCTCTCTCTGTACTCCAGCCTCTCTGTAGTGCCAAGCCAGCGCCTGGCAGGCTTCTCTGCTCACGGTGCATTAGGATGCAAAGCGCTCCATGTCGAGGGAGAAGGGGAGACTAACAAAAGCGCTTTAGTGTTGCAAAAACAAGCCCATCGGTGCATGCCCGTGAAAAGATCTGTACGTCTGCTCTGACTCCCCTAACTCCCTGCAGCTCTCTGCATCACTCCACCACCCCTCCGAAAAGAGAGGCTCTCAGGAGAGCCACATCCATTTCTTGTCATTCTCATTCCTTCTTTCCTGTCTTTCTCTCCCTTCCCATGCGGCAGGTCCAAATTGCTTTGCTGGAACAACGATCATCCCAGCCGGAATTGAAGTAAAGGTGGACGACTGCACCATCTGCCGCTGCCACAACGGAGACTGGTGGAAGCCGGCGCAGTGCTTGCGGCGGGAGTGCCTCAACGGCCAGTCGTTGTCATAGAGAGACTCCACCGGGGATGGTGGAAAAGCTCAGGCAAGGCCCTGCCTACTGCACCATTTTGTATGATTGACAGGGCAGGAGCACAATTCCTAAGTTACCTGAGACAGCATAGTATCGAGGAGATGCTCTCACAAGCTTCACACAAACACAAATTTAGCCACTGAGAAGAAGACGGAACTTGTCTCATGGCTGTTTCCACCCTCCAGTTTTAATCGTCCTATATATTTTCAGAAATTGACTTGCTTGACTTGCTGCTCTCACACAAAAAGTTTCTAAGCTCCTGGAACTCTTTCCTAACCAGTGGCAATATTGAATTGCTCATGTTGATTTCTGTATGTATGTCATCTGCTTGTCTGTCTGTCACAATCACGCAGGTGTTGTAAAAATCCAACAGCAGGAAAAACAAACCGTAAGCACACTTAACAGCGCTTTTTTTGTCATATGAGGTTTGACTCCAGTGAAAGCACTGCAAAGCTGTGTTTGAGTTTCACAATTTCACTCTTAAGAGCTTGTTTACAAAATGCACATCACACATAAATGTTTGTGTCTTCATAAGACTTTTTATCACTATGGCGGGAAATCACCTTTAACACTTAGATGACGCTACTCTCAATTTTATAAACTGCTATAAAACCCCAAGACAGAGATTTTATTGATCATCATGCCGTGGTTTTAAGTCACATCTCTATATAATAGCAGCACGGGCAAGGTAAGTTGGTACTATAGAATTAGCTGAAGGACAGGAAAGACGGCAGGCAGCAACCAAGACAAGTAGTTTTTCAAACACTTAAAGGGGTAAATGTAAAATTCTGCAACACAGACTCAAAACTACAACTTCGTGCAGCCCCTTCCGGCTTAATTGTCGTTATTGTTTTCTCTCAAAGGTCCATATCCTCCAAAATATTCCCACTAACTAACTGCTTGAACTTGTTATCAAAGCAATTAGCGAGCCAAGAGCAGCCTGCTTTAATTTCCCTTAATCAAGAAGTATTCTGTGATAAATCCTCCAGCTGGGTGCTTGGCGCTGCCGCAGCCTGCATGCTGGGCACAGTCAACAAGAACCGGCAAACAAAAGGGGGGAATTTGCACATGTCTTAATGCTTTTAAGTAGCATTCACATGCACATTGTCCACGTGAACATACGCAAGCACCCCATTCATCCACAATCTCACAGGCACACTATATTGGTCTGCACCCAGTGAATCACTTACACCCATAAGTCTTGTTAAGATACAAAGCGGTTACATTATCCCACTGCTATAGATTATCTAATCAGTTTTCAGTTCCTCCCCTCCGTGATATGTAAGAAAAGCTCATCCTGTGTGGTGTGGCTAAAGGCCAGGGCTATAAGATGGAGACAAGTTAATGTATTGTTTCAATATTTTACCAGACCACAATGCTCCTCAAGTGGTTCAGTCGGAAAGAAAAGGCACCCAACCAAGGTCTAAAACATGATGTTTTTGAGATGATAAATACCAGTCATTAATTCAAAGGTGAATTCAAGTAAGCCCGTGCCATTCATCACTAGAATTTATTCGATTTCTAGAAAATCCGTTGCTGTTAACCTTTTAGACCCTATTTCTGGGTGGTGATGGATGGGCTGCTTAATAGCAGCTCCCGGCACTCTAATGAGACAGAAATGAGCATAGGATAAAGACCGATGACTAAAGACCTATATTACCTTAAAAGGCACTAAAACTAATTTTTGGAAGAATCCCACACTCCACAAATTCTGCTGCATGGTCTTAAACTGCAGCACCTGGGTGGTGGAGGAATCGTAGAAGTGAAAGAATGTGGGTGGAGTCCAATCTTAGGTGCAACAATGGAGCCTGAGTCATTTTCATCATTTAGCTACAGTGATTTAGTGTCTTTCAGTGTGAAAAGACAGACCTCATCTATCTGGCTTGAGGTCTGCAGACTCATAAAACAAAACTGACATCTATGGTTTATCAATCACAGCCTCACTGCTCCAGACATTTTGGGATAAATAAAGGAGCTTCATTCATCTTAATTACTTTAAATGTCACATAATTATTCAGCCTACACATGTATCCCCCAAAATATATTGGAATTACTTTACTGGGTAGCATTAGAGAAAAGAGTGAAGTCAGAGTGCCAGGTGACAGGGCTCAGAGGCATTGCTGCCACCACTGATGCCTTATTGCTACTGTTGCAGATAAAATTCACAAAGCATGGCCTTTGGCTTCATGCTGCATGGACAGCCCAGACTGCTTTAAGTGCAACTTTGTTTGCACTCCTCTGTGCAATGGTTTCCTGTCATGTATTTACTAAACTTAGCCATTGTGTTACATTCCAGTAACAGCCAGCAGGGTGAGGAGTACGAGGACAAGGACAGTTCAATCACAGCTACAAATATGGATCTGAATTCACAGATAAAAAGATTTTTTTGATATAAATAAATGGAGACGCAGCAAAAATGGCAGATAGAGATAACCTAGCAACTTGATCTTTGTGACACTGAAACTCATTGTCCTGTATAATAGTTGTGATACAGCTTTTGTGGTACACTTCATTTGGTGAGCTAACTTGGGGGAGCCATGGCTGCTCATCTCCTTAATTTTATAAGCTGCTTTCATCAACTGGATATGAAGGTAGGAGTGAAGGAGTTGAGGTGGTAGGTGTCAACAGAAAGTCAAACCATCCAGACCAGGATCATGTTCAACCAAGCTGAGCTGTGATTCAGACTGCTAGTGGGAAGAAAAAACAAAACAAAACAAAAAAAAACAAGAGCGAGATATGAAATCAAATAAACAAAGAAAAGCGTGGAAGAATCTTTTTCACTACAGAAAATTAGATGCAGGCATGCAGCAGTAGTGCACTGGTGCATATGTTACTCTGCACTGTAAGTAGGTGGATTCTTTAAACAGCTGTAATTACCTTTATTGCTCTCATTGAGAACTAAAGAGGATCAGTCTAGATCCATATGGATTAACAAACAGTAGATGCCTATGTGTGTCACATGAGAGAATAGGCTGTATTTTAAAAACACAAGAGGTGTTTAAGTGGCACACATGCATATATGCTTCTCGGAGAGAGACTCTGCCTGGGCAAACCAGGGGAAATTACATTTCCTCTTGCAAATACATGAAGCTGGACAGTTTCAAGGACAAATCAGCAGCACAGTTTGTCTTTGTTCATTTTCTGCCAAGAAACTTGAGTCTTTATGTCTGTCTGTGAATGTCTATTCAGATGACCCCATCTGTGCCGTCATCATTCAAACCGCAGGCTTGTACATGGGCATTTTGTAAAGGTAAACCACTCGTTCTTTCCACGAGACACCGACTTACTGTAGCTGGAAACTATGAAAGATTGTTTTTTTTTTCCTCCCTTATGTTTTTTTTTTCAGCAACAAAACTGTTACATAAAGTGTGCCTGAAAACCAACAGAGTACTATCTGGAATAGGAAGAGAGAAACCCTGTTATTATACAATCAGTTGTATTAGTTTCTGGGGCACCAAGGGTCTGTTCATGCGGCACTCAAATGTGTTGTAGTATAATTTCTATAACAAATTTGAAATTTTTAAAATGAAAAGCATCTTTGATTGTATATGAATACATGCTCGCACAGCTTGACCCTAAACTGTTCAAGAGACAAAGGGTCCAAATTTCAAAAGTTATACAACCCTTGGTGCTCCCCATGTTGTCCATATGTAAATATGCTCAAACATATAATGTGTATTCTGAAATCTGAGGTGGAGTAAAAAAAAAAAAAAAAAAAAAAAAGAAAAAAAAAAAACACAAATAAGAAATGTGTATTATTCATCGAGACAAAAACTATTTTGTTAAATTAACCTGAAAAGAAGTGTGATTCAGCAAAAATGAGTGTGGATTTCTTAACAACTACTGAAAAATGTGCATTTCTTTACTGTGGAAAGTGCAGCATTTCTTGGCAACTGAATGTATGGCAGGGGCAGCATGTGAGATGAAATTTAATTGAAACTTAGAGAATGCTGCTAAGCAACTCTCCTTGAATTCAGCCACAATTTCCACATAATAAAACCGTGCAAGAAACAACAAACAATACACGACATGAAACTTTACAGCTGACCCGGGACACAGCATATCTCCAGGCGATCTTTACTATAAGCAGAACATTTCCAAATAAATAAAATTACAGTATTTTCCTGACTCACAGCTCTCTGAGAGAAAATAAGAAGATACCAGTGCTTAATGGTTTTGTAATGCTCAGTGAGTTCAAGGGCATTATTCACAGGTTCATTCCTCCATTCTATTTCATTACAAGGCAGTCTGGGCTTCTATCTCATCCGCACTGCTAATTGCCTTCTCCCACCTCCCAGCGTGGACAAGAAAAGGGAAGCAATTTTATGCAGCACATAGCAATCAATAGCAATTAGGTGCATCCCTGACTAATCCCATTGAATCCCATCTTGGGAGATGGCCAGTAGAAGACCTCTTAAAGCACACATACCTGCAGACCAGTGTTAGTGGTGAGGAATACGGACACGCACGCACGCACGAGCACACATACACACCCCTAATGGACACAAAAGAAAAGTTTTGCTTCTTCTTCACAGCAAGTGCCAGAGCTGTGACAGAACAATTAATTGCTTTGTTTTTCCTATTCTATACTTTATATTGAATGTCCATTGATCTTTTTAAGGAACACACTCCCTCCATTTGTATCAAACAGGCCTTCTCAATTAGATAATTAGATAATTATCTCTCCCTGGTAAACCCATGCAGGTTATGGAATGCTACTCTACACTAAAACTACTCATTAGATTTTGCAGCAGACAACAAATTAATTTGAGTGGGACACCCAAACGACACATACAAAATGCTGAATTAACACGAAATTTGTGCAATAGTAGAAAGTGCCTCAAATGTGTTTAAAGAAGCTAATTGTAAGCTTTGATACTGCTACATTGCCAATGTTGGCATTAACAGCTGTTTACTTACCAGTCTAGTAGAAATGTTGTCAAGTGACAATCGCCACCTGCTCCCGGCAGGAAGCCATGCTCGGCGGCAGAGAAAACTTTATATCTTAATGATGGACAGAGAGGTTGCTGCTGCATCTGCAGTTATGTGGATGTTGTACTGGAGTGTTGCAGTGAGGAGGGAGCAATTTACCATTCAATCTAATTTCTAACTGTCACCTATGGTCATGAGTTTCCTTCACAGGGTGGCAGCACTTACCCTTAGAGACAGGGTGAGAAGTTTGCAGTAGATACCTGTCCCTTCACATTAAAAAAGGAGTAAGTTACGGTGGTTTGAGGCATCTGATTAGTATGACGTCAAGAAAAGAAACAAAAGAACATTCAAAGATTTCATCAGCTACATTATTGTTTTTAATTGTTGTTTATGTGATTCATGTCTTATCATGTCATGTCAACTTAATCATCACATATTTAAAAAGCAAAACACACATAATGTCCATGCAATAACATAAGTGACGGTGCAAAATTATCATTTAGTATATAAGTATAAGTCTTCACACCAGATTTTGAGGATCAGGGACAGGAAGGAGCCGGAAGGCTGCAATGCAGTTGATAATCCAGGTGGAGGGAGCTGACCACACCTTACCTCGTCTGACCACTGTGGGCTTGTGAGTTCCTTGAGGATCAAAGATAATGTACTGGGTGCAGAGAGCCTGGTCGGAGCCTGGCAGGGCGTGGTAAGCAGCTGCACTCAGGGTTTGTGTCACATCGCTGTCGGGCTTGGGCTGCCGGCTCAGGAGCTGACCTCCTCCTTCTCGGAGCAGCTTGGTGAGCTCATCTTTGGTAGGCGCCTTAAAGGATCCCAGGAGGAAGAAGAAACAGCCGTCGAAGAGCGGTGGGAGCTACAAAAGATGAATGATCAGAAGGAATAAATTCAAGCATTAGTAGAAATTTGATGATTAAGTCAACCTTGGTCTAAACTAACACTTTCTTGTGCATCAAAAGCATGGCTGAGAAGAGAAAAGCGCTGTCTATTATCTTCCTCCATTAAAAATGTTAGTCACTGTGCCAGCACAAGGATAAAACTTAAGTCCTTGTGAGAACAGTGGCAGAAGGATTAAAGTCTACCCTATTGTTTATGATGAAGTTAAACGCTGAATAATTTCTTTGCCACTGAATCTAGGCTCTCATATTACCAAGAGTCTGTGTGGACGCTTTGTATTTTCTTCTTTACTGCAGAGCCAGAAGACATTTTTATCAGTGCCGCTCTCCAGACAAACTCAGAGCCACTTAGCATTGATGTTTAAAGCAGCAGTGAATTAGGCCACTGGAGACTGTTCTATTCACAGCATCAACGAACTCAACTGTTTTGGGGTGTAAATTGGCTCTCTTAAGAGTTTCCAGTAAGAAGGTTCTTTGACTATGCTTTGGTTTGATTTCACTTTTTTGTGATTAAGATTGATGTTATTGTTTTTCTAGAACACTTTATTGTTGGACATTTTTATTCAGCTCAAGAAGGAAGAAAACAGAAGAAACCAATAATGGGTACATTTTAAATCAACTGAGGACCATGTGTTTATTAACATGTCTGCCTGCCCAGAGGTAAACAACAAACTATGTGTGAGTCGGCTTCTTAAGCCTCTCAAGGGGCTTCTATGTTTCAGGGAACAAATAGGTAATCAAAATATCATGTATTAACACAGAACAATGCATAAAAAAATATCTATTAAGTTTGTTTTGTCACACTGAATCACAGTTGATATAAACATAATTTTTGACGTAAAATAACAGAAAAGGCGAAACTGTAATCAAATTTCTACAATTTTATCAACAATAGGTACACTAAGTACTGAAAAACAATTATAGACAGCCTAGTCAATATTTAGAAGAGCCTCCTTTATCAGGAAACACAGTATGTGTCTGTATCAGCTCTTCCATCTAGACAATGCAGGGTCCCCGTTCTTCTTTGCAAAAACGTACAAGCTCTGTCAAGTTCCATGGTGACTGGTGGGTGAGCAGCAATTTTCAAGCGCTGCCACAATTTCTTTGTGAAGACTGAAGTCATAATTTTGACTTGGTCATTGCAAGGCACTAATGTTGTTGGTTTAAAGCCATTCCTGTATAGTTTTGGCTTCATTTGGAGTTGATGTCGTCCTGAAAAATAAATCCAAGTTGCAATTCTCTTACAGACTGCAGCAAGTTCTCCTACAGGATTTTTCTGCATTCGTTTTAACCTCACAGAGCTTACAAGGCCAGCTGCAGACAATCATCCCCACAACATGATCCTGCAAACACCAGGCTTCAAGGTGGGGATGGTGTGTTTCTGTGGATTTGTGTTGTTTGGATAACACTAAACATAGCATTATATATTGTCAAAACCCCTACCTTCACTAATTGGTACTTCCCAGTATATCTTTCTGCATCTGCTTGTGTCTTTCTACCTAAAATGGTTGACTGCACAATCAAAGATATACAGTGCATTCAGAAAGTATTCTGGCACTTTTTTTTCACGTTTTGTTATGTTGCTGTCTTATATTAAAACCCTTGAAATTAAATTTTTACGTCATGTCCACACTCCATACTTCATAATGACAAAGTCAAAACAGAATTGTAGAATTTTTGTTTTGCAAATTTTGCAAATATCACATAACTAATAACATGACATAACTATTGATACCCTTAACTGTATCTGTGGCACAGAAAAGTTGAAATGCTTAATTAAGATTGATTTGAATTTCATTTTCTTTTGAATAGGGTAATAAAAAAGGCCAACTGTGATTCATAGTTTCAAAACACAAAAAATTCCAAGCGTGTACTTTTAATAGCATGTGTGCTGCTAAACAACAACCATGCACCACTGCTTGGAAAAACACATTTTTCCCAAGGACAGAAGGTCTAGACAATCTATACTCATCTTTTTCACATATTTGTTTGTTTGTGTCTCATTTACCAAGCTACATCTGTTGATGCGACTGCGCTGGGGGCCTTCTCCTGCTTCGTGCTCAGTTTCGGGCATCCAGTTGCCCGCCTGCAGACATGCCTCCACCCCTGGCATCAAAGAGAGAGAGAGAGAGAGAGAGAGAGAGAGAGAGAGAGAGAGAGAGAGAGAGAGATCAAGAAAGAGAAAGAAATAAATAAAGCTAGAGCTAATTATGTTGACTTGAAAGAGTGTGACAAGGCAATTGCAAACGGAGGATGACAAAGCTTATGTCTGTTTTATCACACCGAGTTGGAAGATTTCAAGTATTGGCAAAGCTGCAATTGTTGACAGCAAAAGATGCCCACAGCATGATGGAGTTAATGATGCAACCCTCGTTTTAAGTATCTTGAGCTTAAGCAGAATTCGAGAATCATCTCTTTCTTTCTGTCTCGAGAGGTTTTACAGAGTCAAATTGGAACTGTGTGACAGCCAGCATTCCGGCATTTTTTTGAGTTAGAAGAGAACCTTTGTTCTAAATCCTTAAGAAAAGCATCCCTAAAGACAGAAAAGTTTTTCTTAAAAAGTACAGGCAGATATGGAGGGGGGTATAAAAAAAAAAAAAAAAAAAAAAAAAAAAATCACATTTTAATGACCCTGTTACTGTCACAGATAAAAAAAAATGCTTCTGAACATGACACAGATCACAGTGCTGCTCTTCCTTCTTCTTAAGCGTTTTACTACTGAGTATCATATGTTGGGGGGGTATATCAAAAAAAACCCAAGCTCACATTTTAAAAGTTGCACGTCTATACATGTTGAAACTAGATTTGGTTTGGTGAAAAATATGTATAAAGGATGTCAAATAGACCTGAGCATAAGACATGGTCTGAATATAGACTTGCAGTGCAGAGACTTCTCACAACATTTCCAACCATGACAGATGCAAACAGTCCCACAGGCCTAATACTCATCTGAAGGTATCTACATTTCGCCACACCCACACAACCTTGAAATTCATTACATCTTGAGTTGCAGTTTAGTGTTCCACACTGTTGCTTCCAGCTGCAAGATATCGTTACACGAACAGATTAGGGTAAATGTGTGTGTATGTGCGCGTGTGTGTGCGTGCATACACCCTGTCACAATATAGCCCCCATCATCAAACAGCAAATTACACACATACATCCAGACACACAGTCATCAGAAGATGGGGTGGAGGGCAATTACATTCCTTCATCCCCCTTAATTACAGCTTTCATTTATGGGGATGCTGCCAGAGACTTGGGCAGAGAAGAGGGGAGATACTGGGGTTAATCGCTCCGGACGATGGTGCTTAGTGCTGAGGAGTCATTAGCATGTTTGCTAATTACCTTCATAGACACTGAAAGCAAAAAACATCTCAAACCCCTTCCTGAGTGAGTGACTGAGTAAACAGCCAGAGGAACCCACTTCCTTGATTAACCATGAGACCAACTAGAACTGTTATCTCATTATGAAGACAACCACTGGTGAGTTGAGTTTGACTGATATGAAATTTTGAAGGCCTACCCTGACATTTCAGCATCCAGACAGTGGGGGATAGCTCATTCTATCTTGATAGTCAGAATCCTAAAAACCACTGTCATGCCACATGAGAAATAAGAAAAAATAGTATTCAGGGATTCAGTCCCGAGCAGCAGTGTCAAAAAGAAACAGCTAGAACTCGTATTGGGAGGAAGCAGATAGGTGCTCAGAGCCTCCTGGGTCAACAGTGGGAGTGGCAGAGATGAGAACCAAAGTGCAGGGAAATAAGTCAGTAAAAATTGGGAGAAAAAAGGGAGAAGAAGAAAAATCATATAAAGGGAACAGTCCGACATTTTGTGAAATGTGTTTTTTTGTTTTCTTTCCAAGGTAAGATGAAAAGATGTCACATCTGTGCATTAAGTGCAGAGCTTCTGTCAAGATTTGGCTCGCCTAGCTTAGCATAAAGACCGGATGAGGGGGAGAAACAGTTTACCTGTCTCCAAAGTGAATAAAATATGTTTCTGCAAACACCTCTAAAGCCAGCTTATTTAAACAACCTATAGAAGAACAGGAATGTAGCAGCATGATGCAGCACTTGTGTGCAGCATCCAGATATAGTGCAGGTTGCCAGGTACAGCTGGCAAGCACAAGTCCTTGTTTTGGTTTCTGAATAGGTGCAAACATAGTGCCGAACCTGGCAACCTCACAGAGGGATTTCCTCCAGTCTTGTTCGCACAGACTGGTTACTATTAGACTGGTTATTGTTCACCAAGAAATACCATAGTTACAACATGCAACCATCCTAGAAAAACCACAAATTGCCCCTTTTACTTTTCTGCTTATCTACAGGTTAAACAAGTGAGATGAAACATGCTTTTTCCCTCTCTCTCTAAATTTTATACAAAGCTAGGTTAAACATGTCCTGTGTCCAGCTTGGACACTGAGAATGATATCCATCTTCTCATTTCACTCTTAGAAATAAAGCCAATAAGTGCATTTCCCAAAATGTTGACAAAAGGATTTCAGTCAAACGTTTGATCTTCAATCAAAGCTTAGTTGGGGCTTCTACTATAAGACTGATAAAGAGGTTAGCCAGTCGCTTGGCCTAAACGACAGCGATGGTGTACAAAGGCAGGTGACAGTGAGAACTCAGCTGCTTGTGTGCGCTCACACACATACACAAGGACAGAGACAGATAGGACGGCACAGCGATTGTCACGAGGGAGACAAGCTGTGTCAAGTGCTCAGCCTGCGTGGAGAAAAGAGAAGGGGAGGGCAGAATATGGTCCAAACACACAATCTTATACAGTAAAACATACACATTCAAAGTTAAAATGCCTTACTGGCACAGACAGAGACAAGTGTGGATGGCATTTTACTCTACACACACTCACACACAGTGAAGAGATCCCACTGACGGATACACCAGTCAAGAGCACACCAAGGTAACAGAACACTCTTTGACAGCAAGTCTCTTTTTACTTCCCCTGAAGCTGACTTCCTCTGAATATGTGCTTGTTGATTTAGTTCAATAATGCCAGGGAGACTGGCTGAGAATAGCTAAATTTTTTCTAAGTTTTCATCTTGGCACAAATCAAACAGGAAAAGAGAGCTAGCCATCTTTTCATTGCTAGTGATATTTAAGCCTAGCGGCACATTGATTCCCAAATTCCTTCCCCCAGTCACCCACCTGCTCTGTTTGGCTGTCAGACATGTAAGAAGGTGTGTGCATACACACACAAAGCAGCAGGCACAAACAATTTACCTGAAAATTACCTGTGGCAAAATGTTCTTGTAATGTTTCCCAAGACATTTCATGTGTTGCAGAAAATAAAAAGTATTGTATTTAGAAATTCATATTCCAAACACAGCCCCTGATTTCATCTGAAAATTGCAGAGGAGAGAAAGCACAAGATCGAAAGTACACATCTCACAGTAGTTTGACATGGAAGAGTAATTAACATGGGAGCCTTAGTAGGCCTTTATCATATAACAGCAGAAAGCCAGGTAAACGCACAATTAATAAACAAGTCCCGTTTTTTCTACAAAACTTTGAGTGTCAAAGTAACAAACCCCATATTAGCTAACACAACTCCATGGTAGAACACAAAACCCATAAAACTACTCCAAAAACCTTGTGCAGCACAATCCATTTTCTCTGCACTGTGATTCCAAGTCCAATATTTACCTTGTAGATTTTTCATACTTGTCCTATACTACATTATGCCAAGAGTCACCTAACTGCAGCAAATTTAAACTTCAAATGCAAATGGAAATACTCTTCTCTGTGGCTAGAGCACCCTTGAATAACTCAGTAAACTGAATAAATATGCAACCTTGTAGCAGACAAACACAATAGCTTCACCATATAAAAAGATAAATTAAGAAACACACTGTAAATGTTTCCTTTTACCTATGCGGCACAAAAATAAATCTCTACCGGGTTTGTTTTTTTTTTTTTTTTAAAGCCTTGGTAGTTAGTATACATGATGAACAGAATTCACAATGTTCAAATGTGAAGTAGGAGTGTATGAGGAGCACCTGACAACAGCACAACTCTTAACTTGTTTCCAGTCTTTATGCTAAGTTAAGCTAACCAGCTGCTGGCAGTAGCATCACATTGGCAGACAGATACAGGGGTATTACTGATGTTCTCATCTAATGCGCAGAAGAAAGCGAATTAGCATATTTTTCAAAATTATGAGGTGTTGTTTTAAAGCAATAAATAACAGCAGGAGTCAAGCTTCATTTCATAGGATGGAGCTGTTAATTAATCTGGAGACTCTATGGAAAATAAATCAATAGTTGACATTTGTGCACTTGTGTCTAAATCTAATCCACTACTATTGTAACTACCATATTATAAATAACCAAAGCATTTTCAAATGCATAAACCTCTTTCTGCTGCAAAGCTACAACCTGACTGTGTGAAAATAATATTTGTGTATCTGGCCAAAATACTGGCTTATTCACAACTTTGCCTCATGTTATCCTGAGCTGCAGTGATGGAAGAGAGTGTAAAAGCCACTACACTGAATTGATGACCAGCAGGAATGAAAGGAAGTGAACACAATAAATATCCAAACATAATTGTAATTCATTGTCGAGGTGATCTCCCTGTTAGATACCTTAAAATCTAGGAGATAATTAATTTAACATTCAGGATATTTTGGATAAAATGTGCCTCAGTGCCACTGCAGTAGGTAGTTAACCAGGTTCCAACAGCAACATTGTCTAACATGACATCCAAAAATAGCATCTGCAGAAAGCTGCTCCAGCTGACGGCTCACTCCATACTTACAGCTGTATCTGACAACCCAGCAGCCAGCAAGGAGACCCAGGAGGGTGGAGTAGGTAGTGGGCATGTGTCCTTCTGGCACCACAATGTGGCTCACTGGAGGGAGAAGACAGACACACACTCATAAACAAGCCAAATTGAAAAGGTGCAAATGAGTTGTGCTACACATGCACAAATAGCAGCTGCCTGCTGCTGCCCTCCTTGTGTGTCTGCCACACTTTCCAGCTACACAGTATATTATTGGTGCACATTCAGACAGCTCGATACTTAGAGTGGTACAAGATAACACATTCGATCAAGTCATTACTTAAAGTCTTTTTTTCCACAAGTCAGACAGTGCATTTTTCTTAAAAATACTACTTGAAAACTTGAATCTTTTGACAAGAGACACTTGTGCTGATGCCCAGCACATGTTGAGTTCTTGTAGTCCAAAACTAAAGTAGACCAGGGTGATATTAAGAGTTTATGGTGAGGGTGTATTTAGGCACAGTGGTGCTTGTAGGATAATGCTAACGCCTGCATGCTAGCATTTTGTTGTTTAGCAGGTATAATGTCATCATGTCATTGTAGTTTACTGTGTTAGCATGCTAAGATTTACTAATTAGCACTCAACACAAAGTCAAGCTGAGGATGAAGGGAATGTATTTTGCCAGTACCTGGTCAGATGCCAAACTGCTAAATTTTGATTTGAAAATAGAAAAGACAGCAGAAATGTTACAATTCATCCTTAGGGGACACGAATGCTCAATTCAGCAGGCCATGTTCACATTACACTGGGCAAAAACTATTCACATGTGTAAAACATAAGCTTCAATAACTCATTTGTCTTGAAACACAGCTCTGCTTAAAGTAGATATTGTTTGGTGATATTGATTTATCTGTCCTAACCCAACAGCAGAGGACAATTAATATTTATGGTTTTGATTCCTAATTCATCCCATAAATGTAGTGCAATTCTCATTGTGTTAAAAATTTACTGATGTCCCTTACTTTCTTTTTTACTTTTACTTTCTGTACCTTGCTTTCTGTAAACCTGTCAAACAGTTCATGGCAACACATCTAAAGGGAAAGTAACAGCTTACTTCATAAATTGCTTCAGACAAGGACGCATGATTATAAGTTTATTAAAATTTAAATACAGGCTTATTGCCTCTTCATTCAACAAGTGAGCACAGTTGACAAGTGCAAAATGAACATAATGATACCTCCAGGGCAAAACCTTCTTACATTGTGCACTGACTGTGGATTTGTAGCTTTGAATTCAAAATGTAAAAACCATTTTCTGAAAGCACCAACTTTAACCCCTCTGGTCAGAGGAAGGAGAGTTGTGAGAAACACTTCTGTTTTTCATTAGTGCTTATTCATCACCCTGACAGTACCTCCAAACATTTTATGAGGAATGATTTCAATTACTTTTGCTCTCTTTTATTCTCCCAGCTATTACTATGCAACAGTGAAGGAGTTGCTGTATCACAATGATGTATACACCTCTAAAAGCACTTGTTAGTTACTGTTGAACTTTCATGAGTGATAATGCACAAACTGCTGGCTTTTACAATACAAAAGTGTCTGTTATAGATAGTAAAGCCTATAGTGCTTGGTTCTGTTGGTTCTGTAGGTATTATAAAGGATGATTCAGATACAAATCCCATCTCTAAGGTGGTGGACATTTTGACAATATATAATCGTCATAACAAACATTATGATCAGGGAAAGAGACTGCCATGATTACAGAACCCATTGGATGGTTGAGCCTGAAATGTGCCCATCTAATACATCTTTCAGTTGAACAGGGCATCCAAATGATGGTTGATTACCTATCAGAGTGTTTGGCAGTGAACAAGCTTACCAGCCATGGTCCCAATGTACCAGTAATTGGCTGGTAGCTGCAGTTAATTTGCAGTGTTGCTGAGAGCTCATGTGTCACAAATAACAACATTAAAAAGCAATCATATGCAACCATAACCTTGGAACATTGAGGAAGTTTAAGTCCCCTGAGGAGGTTGTGTATGAAACATACGAACACTACCTGAGCCAGAAAAGGTGTCAACCACTTTTCCTCCTAGTAGCTGTCCCAGTTTGGCTAGTTGAAGCTGTGCTGGCTGAGAAAGCTTGCTGGCAAAAAACGCAACCATTTCATCTCTCCTCACAAAGTCACTCACCTAAGAAAGGACATAAGAACACAGTTTAGAAATGTCTTGGTCAATAATGCACAAAAATTAGCGCTCTACCCTTAACAATTCTTAGGGACATACAGACGTACCGCAGAGAGACTGGCTGAGGGGCTAAAAGAAACATTAGCATATTGGGTTCCCTCTGAGGCTTCCTGGAAAATCTCCAGCATCTCCAGACTCACTGCATAATCTGCAGGCTGCTTTCCATGCAGATTACTGTGAAGAAGAACATTCAATAGGTAAAGTGTGTCAGTGTCTCACACACAGCAACACAGACCAGCAGGTAACCACAGGGACAGTCAGACATGTCAAAACTGAAACAAGAGCACACTGGCAAAAACGCAACAGTTAAGTAATTATATTTACTTAGATTTGTTCACTAAAAAATACCTCAACACAAGCTGAAAGCAGGTCAAAATGTGCAAGAAGGATGTGTGGAGTGTAGTTGTACATATCACGTATGCCATAGTAATTATTTGTGGCATCTGTCTCAAGACAGGTTTCCTCTTCAGCAGATCTATAAGCTAACATAAGATAACATTAATTGTTAGAACGGGTGGAAAAAGTCTTTTAATTGGTTTTACTTTCTAAAATGTCACTTCACCTTTCACTTGTTAAACTTAAATAAGACCGATAGAAAACTTTTTTTCAAGCACCTTTCACAAGCGAAATTACAAATTGCTACAAATAAGGTGATGAATGGACAAAATGTTTAGAAATGCCAAACAGGAGACCTCATATTGGATTCAAGTAAAATAGAGTAGCACAAACCCAGAAAATTGAAAACAAAAAAACAAGTAGGAAACTCGAGTAAATTCAGGATCAGCCCTCAAGGTAAAAGCATATTGTAAGAGATTTCACGGGCGCTATGTGCTGTGGTTTTAAACAACTTTGGACCCTGAATAGACAAAAAGTTTCTGATAGAGGATCTGAAATAACATCCCTTTCCTTTGGAAAAAATCATGTTTTGAAGAAAATCATGCCTCATCATCATAATCTGTAAGTATACTGCTCTGGCCAGCAGCAATCTTCCCTTTTCAAATTGTACACGCTTGTTCTTGTCTCTCATGGCAGCTAGTAAGAGAGTTAAAACTTTTTAATCCTACATCTTACGAGTTAATCATACAAATTTTGGTATCCAAACTGTTGCTGTTGTGACTAACTACCTTTCTGACCAAGCTGTCATATGCTAAGGCAGCATTGGTATTACATCGTTATAAATCCAAAGCACGGTATTTTCCAATAAGGTGGTCATTCTTTTATATCATTTCATCATAGTCTCTGTAAATTTGGGATTTTTTGGGTTTTTTTTTTTTTTAATGACTGGCCAAGCAGGACATTAAAAATCAATATTTGCCAGTCTGGAGCTCAGAGAAAAACAATTTGGCGATGTCACACCCCGCTTGTTCTGTGAAACTGTGCATCCAAGTGTGTCATTCACTTGTTGGAGCATAATTGTTTGATATGAGGTTGAGTTGAAATCTGTGCTCTACTTCATTCATAGGTCATCATGTCCATATACAACACACCAGATTGACTGGAAGGAAAAGAAAATCAGATATCAAAGGGTTGCATAACATTACTGAGAACCTTTTAAGCTTTCTCAATTACATAGGTTTATCTAGTAAGAGGATCACATTCCCTTTACAGTTTCTGTATACAATTAACTGTGATTCACAGTGGGTGTAATGGAGGCTTCGCATTATCTCAATAGCAGCATTATGTATACAGATTCACACAGATGAAATTGCGACTATCCCTTGGTTACAATAGGGATATTGAAGAAAGAGTTTCAAAGTATGTATCTTTAAGTTGGAGAGAGCTGCAAGAAACAAGACTATGGTCACCTTGAGGAAAGAGGGAGAGGAGAAAAGAATGAAGAAAAGCACAGGAAGAGCGAAGGAGACGGAGAGAAGAACCAAGCCCAGCAGGTTGTCGCTAAAAGATTAGTCGTCAGCAAAGATAACACCTGGGGGACAATTAATAGGTCCACTGGTCCATAAAATATTTCATTTGGATTCATACCCCCAGCCCCATACAAATACAAACATAAAATGTCCCTGACACTTATACATATGCGCACACACACACACGCTAGTTTATGCAGCTGCATGTGACAAGAATATCTCAAGAAAAATAATGCGTGGAAAATTGTGCAGGAGGTAAAGTCACAAACACTCTCCCACAAGCCTCTGCTTAAGTACACAAGTGGGATGATGGTGGTGGTGGTTCGAGTGGATACCCACTGTAACCATGACTCTTATTCTAACTGGAGGGGAGGAGATTCAAATATTAATTTCAAGCTCTACACAGATACAGACAAGTGTTCAATTCCACCATCAGCTCACACCTAACACCATCCATTCCCTTTCTACATAAAATCCCTTCTTCATCAATAAACAACATAACTACACTTACAATACTGATAACAATAATGATAGCTTTTTACTCTGCCCAATTGTTAATACATACTTTAAAGAGCCCCTATTGTACTGGCTCTGTAAAACTAAACGCAGTTTTTAAGTTCATCTCTTGTCCTCAGAGAACCATATGCCAACATTTTGAGAGGTCAATTCAAAATTCAAACCAAGCTCAAGATCACCCAAGAGCTGACAGAGCCTTTGAACTATGTCAGCTCAGCAGTAAGTCTTAAAAGGGAGTCATAAGTCTAATGATAGAAACACGTGGCAAGCAACTGATGAGGCAGAGGGCAAGGCCTGAGTGCATTTTTAATCAAAAGCTTCATTAGTTACATTTCCGACTTAAACAATTCACTCTGAATTTGTCCTGATAGTTGGATCAGTGGGGTGATACAGCTTACATTGATGACACAGTGTATGACTCACCCAACGCCTCCATTTAACTTTGAAGAAGTACTGTGTATTGTACTGTAGTTGTTATGCTGATGCCCTTCTCTGATGCCAAACTGTGCAAATAATGACTTTGCTAGATGCTCCTAAAAATAGCCTTATTCAAGCTATTAACAATGTTTCAAATGTCATGACTGAACAAAATGGACAGTCCAGTGAATAAGAGCCAAAAAAAATCATCAGAGCTGTGCACTTTATTTTGGCAAGAGGATGAAACTTTTAACACTGACAGCATGCATCATCGAGTAGATTTCAAAGACCGGAAGAAAAGAGAAAGTCACCTCCACTAACTGAGAGGTGAAAGTATCATATCCATATTATCTTAAAGTTGCCCCGTGGAGTTTTTGGTAAACAAAAAAAAAACCAACTGTAGATCTTTGTGACAGTGGCAACAGTTGGCAGAAATGTGTGTTGTGCTTTTGACTGTGTATATCTGCCCTAATGCACATGCATGATAAACAAAATGAGAAGGACCCACATTGCTCTTCGGTGCCAAAAACACCTCAGGGTGCCTTTAATGAAATAAGTTGAATGAATCCACTTAAACTAAATATCTCTCTAAATATGTAATGTTTGGATCAAAATGTTTAATCTGTGCATTTGTGAATGTTCATTACAAACACTATTTCTAAATACAAAACTGTAGTCAGTGATGGTGTCATAACCATCTGTTATTATACATTAACTCACTGTTAACATTTGGTGACTGTCATTCCTTGTTTATCGTATGACCCTGTGTGTACGACAGTCCAGTGCTATTGCTATAATCAAGTGTAATGAATTCAGCGTGAGGTGCGCAGGTGGTGTTAAATAACATCTGTATGGATTCCGTGCTTCAGGCTTCGGGTAGTCATTAGGAGTGAGTCAACAGTCAATTCAAATGTATTGGGCATTTTGTTTCCCACATCTCATAAACACAATTTCATTGTCATACTGCACTTACATTAACATAAATAGTGACATATAAAAGCCTGTGCTATGAATAGGAAACTGGTTGGCAATAAAGTTTAGTATTCAAGGTATAAAATATACAAAGTATCACCATTGCCCCTTAATTTCGTGAACATAACATATGCTATCAACTAGCACCGTGCAGGCCTCATCATGTTTGTCCAAATATGCTGCACTGGTAGATATTTATGCTTACAGGGCTGAGACTTATAGTCAGGAGCCCAGCTGTGTATGCTGCATAGCTTCTCAGAAAATGCTTAAACCTGTTGTTTTTGAGATAACAGGGAATGGTCGACTGTATAAAACATATTAGTATTCACTTAAGAATTTGCCTCTCTTAAGAGACTTCCTTCAGTATTTCTGGTACTACTCAGCTTGTCAAAAACATGAGCTGGATAGAAAGTGGACACACAGATTTAGATGACAGGGCCAAAGCAATGCAAAAAAAATGCAGTCCAATCATTCAAACCAAAAGTGCATAGAAAAACAAGCAGGGGAACAATGAAGATCTGCAAAACCCATATTTCCATACCCAGACCTGTGTGCCAATCATTCCATTATGGATTGTTCTGCTTCTTGTGTGCATGTGCGCGTGTATGTGTGCCTGTGTGGTGGGGTTATGGCAAAGACTGCATTCATCTTGCAAAGTCCTGACACACTGTCCCAATCACTGCCTGTTCTTTTGGCTTGCAGACAAGTAATAAAGGTAAAGAGGAGAAAATGTAAGACTCGGCAATCAGGACCCATCAAAGCAAAGAGGCAAATAAAATGAAATGAAGACAAAGGAACCATTTGCTAACTGACCAAAACACTGACACTGATCAACTACTCTATTGATCACACTGATTAACCAGCATTCTCTCCCTCATTATGGGCATGGTGCTACATATCTACCCTGCCTCCACAGGCCACAAACGCTGATACTGCATCAACTGATTGACCAACAACTAATCAGGATCAGTCGATTTTCTTACATCTATGCTCCTCCATACTGCACTAACGCACGCCCTGTTCTTAATTATAAAGGGCTGAATGCCTGATACGATAAATGGTAAACAGGCACTCAATGATATATTGAAGAAGTGGAAAATGAGCACCAGTCCAGAATAACAAACGCGCCTCTGTGCAATGAAATACAATGGCAGTGCAGTATTAACTTACATATAATGTTTAGTTTCTGTTGAGATTTCTACTTCAGTTGTTTGACTCAGTTGAAAGGCACTTTTAATATTTTGTCCTCCTCCTTTACATACACGGGGGAGCAAAATAAGAAAAGACTAGATTAAGGGTTTTTTGTTTGGCTGTTACTCAGTGAAATGCACACTAGGGATGTGGTGGAATCAAATTTTCATGCTTCATGATAACTGCGGCCAAAAATGTCACAGTAAACAAATTTGATCATCATATTCATATAAAATGAAATTTGATTTTTTTTTTTAAAAGAGGACATAGACCCTTATAAATAAATAGTCACAGTTTTAACATTGGGAAGAAACATGCAGCATACTAATATCTCATGTATTCATTTGTGTGGAGGCTGCTGCATCTTACATGATCGTGATTAAAACTGTAGCTTGAAGTGTAGTAATTATGGTCACAAGTAATGTTTTTCAAGTGAATTTAGGTCTATACGAACTCAAGTTTTAAAGTGACACGGACTAGAAGTGTTTTTCAGTACCAGGTTAAAAGTTCTTCTGTTTTGACCATAACTAACAGAAAACCTTGTTTTCAGGTCAAAGCTTCTGGTCAGCACTTTTTCACAAAAGACCAATGCCAAGCAAAACAGGCCATCTATGCAGTTAATCACTTGCCCTGTGCCAGGCCTTCGTCACAGCGACCCACATTACATGTACAGGTCTGATCCTGATCTTGTGGTGGGTCACTTTGTGATTCATTTTACATGGAGCAAATCTTCATAAAAGCAAAACTCTCTCTGCCGTACTGTATATACTTTTTTCACCTGAAAATCCAATAAACTGCAAGTATGAAAAAAACACGTAAAGGAGCTTACAGTACATTCTGTGAGGCTCCATGCTGCAGCAGCAGTTTGACAATGGCTGGATGTCCGTTCCTCACAGCATCATGGAGTGGCGAGTCGTTTTCATAGCCAGGTGTGTTCAATAGGGCTCCCCTTGAGACCAAAACCTCCACAACTGCCATGTGACCCAGGTTACATGCCTCGTGCTGGAACAAAGAGCAACAACTTTCACGTTATCCTGCTCTTCTTTGATCTGATTTTTCTCTCTCATGCTCAAAAGAAACACCCTTATTTTTAGTATGTATCCTAAACTCACATCTATTTTCAATCACTGTAATATCAATTTTTTTTCCTTCCAGATGATGCCGTTTTTCTGGGGGAGATGCTTCAAAGAGTTCAAAAGAATTTGATTATCCGAATGGTAACGTTTTTGATCCCACGTGCATTTTCTCCTTGTGGATAATGTATAAAGATAGCCAAACAACTCCATAACTGCCAATCTGATATTCCAGCTCAATCACACTTAATTCGTTATGTAGAAAATAACTCTTACTGTCAGACTGTCTGAGGAGAATTCTCAAATATTATCATGCTCTACTTTTCTTCTTTTCTTAGATTAACATGAATGGGGAGTTTTATGACTTAGACAAGTGAGAAAAACACTTGATTTTATTAACTGAGAGTTTCATTCGGGAGTGAGATTAAGACACACTGCAACAACTGCACAATATCTATAAACATTTGTGGTCAATTTCAATAAACTGGGCAGCTGACAATTTTATTGGGAGGCCAGCTTTTGTTCCAATTCAGTTTAACTTAGTCTAAGCAGCACACAACGTGCTTTTAAGCAAAGAGGTATGTGGAGTTATTCCCTCCCATCATCTGTGGAGAAAACACAACATGAATTAGCAAATTTTAAGTAGAATGTCCAGCTGTATTATATTGTTTTTATTGTCTAGAAATGAAAACTTGCCTCTCTCCATCTCCAACCGATACAAACTAAGAACAGGATTTGGGACAACTGTTTCATGTAATGCTGCCATGCTACCACTACTACGTCCTTTGGTGCTGACCATCTGTAGCAGAAAAATGTTTAATTTGGTCACAGTTAGGACCCAAAATCCATGGATTTGTGAAGTATTTGGCTTTCAGTTTTATTTGTTATAACAGCTTTAGGCTTGACAAACACAGTGAGCACACATACAGTAAATGTTAGAAGTTCTTTAAACTTTGTAAGCTCAGCATTAGCTGGGCAATAAATCAAAACAGGTAAAATGGTGCTCAAGTGAATGGCTGGAAAAAAAAAAAAACACAAAGAAGTCTAGATGATGGTAGTATGTCAAGTCAGTCAGCTCCCCAGCCTTCCCAGATACATACAATCAGTCAAATATGAATATGTCAAGCTCTAAGCTTAATGGTAGCAATTTTGAAAGATCAGCTGCATACTGCCAAGTCTCAAATTGAAAATTCAAGTTTGAGTGGATCATCTTGACAGCAAGTAGCCATGTGAAGTGTTGCAACAGGATAGTGGCAAACACTCCAACATTTGCTCTCTAAAGAAGAAAAGAAATTGCTCAGGCAGCACTGAAGGATTTTACAGTGTCAAGTGGAGGCAACTTTAGGCTAAACTATTAAAAGAGCACAGACTACATGTTTTGAAGTAAGCCAGTATGCAATAAATAAATAAAAATAAATAAATAAAGTTGACTCTCTCCGGATAAGAAACCTTCAGCTAATATTAAGAGAGAGAGCGGCTTTGTTTCAGAATGATGTGAACAGTACAAGTAGTTTATTTTTTTAATGATTGATTAACATGTTTTCGGTTTCAGTTGAAGACTGGCCAAATGCACAAAGAAAACAGCACAAACTACTACTCACATAGCAGAAACGGGGGTTAGTTTGCAGAAAAATGGAACAGGGAGAGCTAACCAGACCAGAAGACTTAATTTGCATGTATATCCTTAACAGCAACATAATACAAACACCAACTGTACATGTTGGTTTACCAGAAAGGAATACACAGTAAATGGCTAGATGTAAATGTTGCAAGGGTTTACCAGAGAATAAAAACTACTGTGAACATAAAGGCCTTTGCGTGACAAAGTAGTGTGTGTATAAAAAAAATTTAATAGCTTATGTTATTGATAAGAAACACCACAGATCTCTTTCATCAAATGAAAAGAAAAGAAAAAAAACACCCTGACAGTGTAGAAAAACTATTAACCTAACTGTTGTTTTAACTGAGAGTTTATCCACACAACAAATAAAGCTTTCAGATCTATCACTTGTTGTATTAGTCTTACCAGAGGTGTCCACCCAGCATTATCCTTCAGGTTAGGGTCAGCCCCCTGGTCCAGCAGTTCCTTGACAGCCTCTACATCTCCCTGCAGGACCCAGAGAGAACAACAAACCTGAGGTCAGAATTGCAGACCTGTAAACGCAACCCTTCAAATACAGCAGCTGATCCCAGTGTAGCAAAGCCCCAGTGTTTATCAATCACACTCCACAGTGGGCCATTGATTACCTTGTCGGGGATCCAGAAGGGGATTACGGCTATGTTTACAAGGATTACTGTAAAACGGTTTATTCTCAACAGACCAGAACATGACTGTCTGATCATCTGAAGACAAAAATGTTCAACTGAGAGGGGAGACGCTACAGGAAGAAAAGATATTTAAAGCAGCAGATTTGTGCAAGATGCAATTTGAAGAAGAAACTAAATTAAACTAAATTAAAATTAAACTAAATTAAAATAAGGAACATGAAAGGCCAAGTTTGTACCTTGCAATCTCGTCATTTTAACTGCTGATAAATCCTTAGAAATTGTTTCTGCCCTTTAATAAATAATTTAGACATAATAATTCTGAGGAACATAATTTCATTTTATTATATTATTTGTTTATAATTTAAATACCTTATCCATTTAGGATGTAGTGCAAAAATACTGCAGCTCTTGCAGAATGCAACAGAAAACAGAGTGAAGTAAACAAGTTCAATTATTCAAAAAACTCTACCTTTATAGCAGCTAGATGTAGCAGGCTCTCTCCCTTGTGGTTCTTCTTCATAACTGCAGGGCTTCCTGTGCTGGGCCGTCCAACAGGTGCACCATGAGAACAGGGAGATTTTCGACCGATGGTGGCTAGGAGAGAGGGGCTGTGTCCTTGCTCATCTCTAGAGATTTTGGTGCTCTTTTCACACCTGGTAATCAAAAAAGGAGGGTTAAGGACGACTGGTGACATCTGACCCGGGGATTTTCTCCTCCGGCCTGGGGAAGTCCTGGGCCTTTTTGGTGTGGTCTCCAAGGTGCCAACTTTCTCCACCACCCTGGTTCTTTTTGAGGAAGGCTTTGGGGGAGAAATGTTCTCCTGTTTTTCAGGATCTTCAGCTGGGTTGACGTCATTTGTAGACAGTGAGTTTTTTTGGATGACACCGTCTGACACGCTCTGACCATCTGAGGAGGGGTAATTCATTTGAGTAGCGCTGCCTCCTGAGAGGCTTTCCCTCATGGTGCTGCTACAAGGGCTGAGTTCATCAGTACTCCCCTTTGGTACTTCAGGCTTAGGCTGGTCGGAGGTGACAGCAGGGTTTAGGAAAGAAACCCTTTTACTGGACCTCCTTGCCCCTTCAGCACAGGGCTGCTCTTTTTCCTTTAAGGCATCTACATCCCCACTGATCCCCCATTGCTGATTTATAGCCTCTAGCCTGTTGCTCTTCGTCACCTTCATGGTCTGCTTTCGTGTGGTCCTTGTGACTCCCAGTGCCTTCCTGCCAGCAGCATTTTTCTTAGTTGACCTCTTCTCCCTTTTTTTGTTTTCATTGTTGCATTTTTGAGAAGAAGAAGAGTCTTGGGAGGACGAGGTGAAATTGAAAACTGACAGGTCCTGGCCTTGAGCAGTAATGGTATCTGGCTGTGCTGCAGCTGTTTCTCCAGAAGACCTGCTGTCTGGTACTATGACCTCTGAAGGCTTCTCCACTGTGCAGCGCACCTTGCGGCTGCGGGGGCTGAACCAGATCTTGAAGTTCTTCTTGTGTTTAAAGACAGGGCTGTCAGGTTGTGTCTGAATCTCAGTGACAGAGGAGTCTGCAATGAATCAATGGAAAAAAAAATGTTTAACAAAACGAAAAGTTCCCATATGTCATTTTTTTTTTTTTTTGTTGTGAATTGTTATCAATAAGGCAATTTGTGATTGTAATAACCCTCCACTACCGGTTGAGAGGAAAAAAGAATAACATCAAACTTTGAATTATGCATTGCCAGCCACAAATACTGACATATGACAGAGGTACAGAAGTACACAATCAACATGCTAACCCTTAGTTATTACTGTCTAAATTTAGACTGCACAGCAAATTGCAGATTTGATAACATTTTCACAAAAGGGCTTAGAAAGTTGCCCTGTAGTTCTTTGCAAAGCTGAGGTCTACTTGCAAACTAAACACCACCATGGTTAATTGTATTGCATAATTACTGTCATTACCAGGACGCTAGATGAGCAATTAAGAAAAAAAGCACAGGAATAACCCATTAATACTGTCCATCAGAGATTAGATTGGTGGAAGAAAATGTTAAACGTTTCAGTCAGAAATTGATAGGGCGAGGTGTGAGCAGATGAGAATGGAAGGAAACATAATGTATAAGACACATGAATTCAAGATGATAACCCTTAATTATGCTGTCAAGCTGTTATATAACAGCTACCATCTACCTGGTTGTTCTATGGGATTGAGCAGGGACTCCAAACCACAGAAGAGCTGTATGATGCTGCTCAGCTGCCTGTTGATTTGGATATCCTTCACCCATGCAGGGCTGTGACACAACACGCAGCCATCTCCTGCACGGGAGCCAGCACAGGACCTGAACAATAAACATTTCTTGAATTAGGCATCTACTTCACAGTTCAGTAAAAAGAAATACAATAAGGTAATTGATTTTCTTTCATTTTAAGACCATTCAGTCATGGAGAGAGGACAGAAATTGAGGCTACAGTTTATGCCTAAAGAGACATTAATCCCCTACAACTTTTAACACTATAAACTATGCACTGCATGGGAACCATGCCACTACCATTTCATCCACACAAGAAACACGCTCCATAAAATAAGAACTGCGTGTTGATTAAAAAAATGTTGTAACTAATAATCATTTATACAAATTCTGCCATAAAATTGCTTTATTTTTCTATGTCCCTCATGTGTATGTAATACCTGTTACAATGGTGCTGTTAAAGTTGTTACTCTAAACACTAACATAAGTGCTAAAACAATTATTGGTTTCTTATTATAACTGATACCTGATAACTGTTGTTTGGTTGAACAGAATATGAATCTGTCAATCCCATATACTTATAATTACATAAATACTCAATCAGTTTTTAAATGCACAGGGAATAAAATCCAGCGATGGAATCTTCTCACTATAGGCATTTTGTCATAGCACAAAACGACTGGTTGTCAATACAAAAAATTCATTATGGCTTCATTCCATTTATTTGCGCCAGTGAACCAGCATGCTCGATACCAGAACCCTGGTTACAGCTCACCTAAATGTAACGGAGCCATCATTTAAATGATAAGTTACACCTGTGTTTGACAAATAAGTGCCCACCGTGACACAGGTCTACGGTTAATGAACATGTCAGAGTAAAACATGTTTAACTGAGGTTACATTACCTGCACAGCATATGCTCACACATTCCTAGACACACAGGTTCCCTCATTAAATTTGAACTGGAAAAAAAAAGAACAAAACATGTAAAAGTGGGCAGTGCAGACATAATGAAGTGAAACCAAAAATTACCATTCCCACTATAATCATGGCTCATATCGCCATCGCAATATCTGTCAAAATAATCGCAATATTTTTTCTGCATATCCTTCAGTCATATTTGCTAACCAGCACTAAACACGTACAGCTGAGGCTGACATGATTATTGTTACAGCAGTAGTATGTAGTGACAAAAAAAGTGTTGACCTAAATGAAAACCTGACATGATGATGGTGCTAGATTAAAGATTAGGGGATCAATCAACTAACCAAATCTTCAGGACTACTTGGGAGGATCTGCAGTGACAAGTTTCTTAAAAGCATATATTGTTGAGAGAAGACCACATCTGAAACATTAATGCCTCCTCCCTAAACAAAGAGCCCAGTGGTGTCTGCAGTCTCTGACAAGCCTGAAGGGAATGAGAGCAAGGAGCGTGAACGTCTCAACCCTTTCTACTATAGAGAGCGTCCAAGCCAGCTGCATTACAGTCTGATTCGTCAATTGCATTAGACGGTGGAGACAGCAGAGAACATCAATGGGATCTCAGTGTGCATTTACCATAACCGCTGCATCTGAAGCAACCAGCATTGTGAGGGACCCCTGCTCTACTTCTTACCAACTCTTCAACCCTCATGCCATCTGGCTGGATCAGCTGGGTGTACTGGAGCATTGTAGCATCCAGACTGCATAACAGTTTCTTCCCGCAGGCAGTCAGGTACCTCAACATCCTGCTACATCCAAACACTCACCTGAACTACATTTACACTGTACAGCTTCTGTTAAGCTTTTGACAACATGCTAGCTTCTTCACCATCAGGCTTCTCAAGCTGTGTGCTGTCATGTGTTGCATATTTTTGTTCCCAAACCATACTGTTCTATTTCTCCATGATGTATTATCGTTTTTGCCATATTGTGTTGTGTCTTAAGATAATACTGCACTGTCATTTATTTTTAGTCTGTACTGTGTTCCTTTGTTATAGTTGCACAAAGATTTTGTCAATTTCACCCCTCCATAGCACACGGACACTGTATACGAATGAGTTGTCAATAACAAGCCACTAGCCTTGATTTCCGTTAAATGCAAAACCCAGCAGACAGCAACAAGAGAATAGCTTTAACATGTAAAGTTAAAACTATCAAGAGGTAGCAATAACGTTTTATTCGGACGTCTGGTATTTTTAAACGACTTTGCTTTTCATGCTCATTTTTTCTGCGTAACGTTACCGGGCTAACTGTGCATACGTGAGGAATCTTCCTGTAGCGTTTCAAAACGAAGCCATTTTCGTCTGACAAAAAATGTGTATGGTAGTAGTTTATTTTGTCATTCGCCTTAACGTTACACAACAAAGGACGCTCCGTCATTACATAGCCAGCCTCTCTACTAGCCACAGTAACTGTAACATTAACGTACCATTTGGAGCAAAGTAGCAGTCGTCGAAAGTTCGCGACCGCCTCTTTAGTGCTCTTCCAGTCCTCTGTCTGCACGGGGACATCATTGTTCATTCTTACGATAATTTTTGCTTGTTTGTTTCCTAGCTCTTCTCTTATAACTTTGTGGGTCAAGATTGCAAAACAAGTCGAACCTGCTTCCTGTTACTTACATCTCCCGCCAAATGGGAGGAAGTCATGGTTGCCATAACCACAGCAATGACGTAAGTTTCGGCCCTCCCCCAAAGAATGAGAGTGAGTTTTCTGTGTATTTTCTGTTAAACCAATATAAAATGCTGAATTATACATTCAATGACATTTGACATGGTGCAAATGTAACTCGAACTGAAAACAACGCACAATTCAACAGCAGAACAATTGATAGAATTAGTTGATTAAGCAATATCACACGAGAGGGAGTGATGTACTGAATATCCGCATGGCTGTGATTCTGTCATAGGTACGAGGCCGCAGTCACAGTGCACAGCAGCTTGCTACTTTGTTTCCCGACCTTCATCCACTTCTGACGACCACACATAATTTAATTCAAATGTTATTTCTGGAACTATATCATTCTTTCAGGTTGCAATCCAAGATATTTAACGACCGTTAATGTAACCGATAAATGGTTAAAAGAACACCTGTGAAGCATGTAGTTAAAAGTCCCAGTGCTGTTGTACTCTATATAAGTACTCATGGAATGACTCTCGTCCAATCAAATTACTTGGTTGGAACTAACTGTTGTACAATTTACTATCTTCAATTATTCAGTTCTATTTCTTCTACTTGTGCCTGTTTTGCAATTTAACATCTGACAATTTTGTAATCACTAATGTGTTTTGTCTACAACAATTTATCAGTCAAAAGTAAGAGTGAAGAAAGAGAGCAAAACTGGTTCACTGATGTTGGATAAACTCAATTTATTTTCACATTGATAATAGCAAGCCCAACTAGTGTGTCATCGTTGGTTTATTGCATTAACTAAATGCCACTGTAAACAATTGAAGATGAATTTGTGTGCAGACAAATGAACTTGAATCAAACTGAAAAAAAGCAATCCTCTCTGTTTTAAATGTCATAATGTGGATTCCACTCTAGCTGAATATTCAAGGCCTATCCAAGGAATATTAACACAGTTTGAGTCATCTGGGTAGCTCATACAGTGGCAAAAAATTCAAAAATACTTGAGAATGTGTTTGTGTGTTTACGTAGTTGTTTTGTCATATACTGTGTTGTGTTTAAGCTTGACCTATGGGTATATCCATTGGTTCTCCAAGTCCTACACATAAACAATGATAATGCAATAAGGCTGAAATCAGCTGGTGTGTTAGTGTTTTAGGTCTGTCATAGCAGCAAAATCAAAGACCCTTATGCTCAAACACAGGAAAAGCACATACAATATGCAAATGAATAGCAGCTGCATTTGAAAAATAGCTTTATTAGAATTATAAAAAAGAAAAAGGCTTGATACATTCAAGACCATTTGGAACTGGTCCATAAGTAGGAAAGAGTACATTAAATATTCAGTTTATTCATTTTTAAAAGTTAGATATGCCCTTAGAGGAAGTGTTAATGAGTAGGGGAAAAGTGCATATTGAGGATGTTCTTCTGTGTGTGAATATTTTTTGTTTTGTCAAATTTTATCCAGTGGGCACAATTACATATCCCTCAGATATAAAAAAAAAAAATTACTTTGTGAGACATATTATATATTTAGTGTGTGAGTGCTTTAAGATGATGTTAAATCAAATGAAAGTGATTCCAAACAGAAAATACATAATGCTTTTGATTTGCTATGGTATTGGTAATATATAGTGAACATTGCCCCAACCACAGAGAGAAATTAATAGCCTACATGATTAATTTTATCCTTCATAAATAATAATATCTTGAGAATTAAAGGTAAACATACAAACGTAATCATGTGACCTGTAAAATAGGAAGACTTCAATTTATTGACTTTTGCAGTTGTGCATGTATGTAAATGTGCATGTGCTCTTATACTTTTCATTAAGAGTTTAATTTGTTCAGGATACAAATGTAAGTTACCCTTCATATCATGGGCCAAGAGACTTTCAAGAAATAGTCAGGAAATTGTTTAAACTCTTATTTTTCGCACATAAAAATATATATACTGTATACATACATATATAATATAGGCAGATTTACTATAAACACCTACTGTGTTTCATTTCATAGTGGACGTAGACATGATGGCAAAGAAAAGACGGCAGTCAGCTCTATGTTTGTACTGCCTTAATGGAGTCCAGGTCATCATACTCATTTTCATTCTGAATTGGTATGGTTTCCATGCCAATCTTTCCCATGGCAAAGTTGATGAAGACCTGTGGAGATAGACCAATAATGTAAGAGCCATGCCAGTATCAAAGACTATTATCCTTCTCCGAGTGCCATAAATTTCAGCTAATCTTTTGGACAGTATTCCTCCATGACCACCCCCCTCTTTCTTCTGCCTATGGCTTCTTCCAATCCCAGAGCCCCAGAAGGGCAGAGTGGTTGAAGAATATCAGCACTGGCTGCATATAAAGCTCATGGATTTTCTCCCTAACTCATATTCCATTTATTTTCCCTCAGGCATACCCTCTGTCAGTTTCCCTCTGCCTCTTTTAAACTTTTTCTACTCAGTCTTTCACTCCCACTCAGCTTTCTTCTGTCCCTGCCTCCCCTCCCACCCTCTCTCTTCTTCTCTCATCTCCTGTCCCTTTTTCTGTCCCTCGCTACCATCTGCCCACCCCTACAAAACCTCACACTAGTTCTCCTTCTCTCTCTGTTTGTGTCCTGTCTCTTTTTCTCACCTCATCCAGTGTGGTTTGGCTCACTGAGAAGTGTTTGATCTGCAGAGCATTCTTGTTTGACTCCAGCTGGTCGAAGATGTCAGCCACCCCTCCTGGAGCAACTGGTACGTGGTACTCCACCATAGTGGAGTGCTGGTCCTGTGTGTTGGGAAAGAATGCACAAGTAGAGGGTTAAATATTCTATAAATCATGAAATACTGGAAAATACACTGAAAAGGGTGATGTTCATAAAAATATATGTATGCAGTGGGGCCCAGAAGTCTAAAACCACTTTCCCATTCACTTGAATAGGAAAATGGTACAGCGATACTATACATTCACATATATAGAGTGTATGTAGTATATTCTGGGATGGGCCACAGAACACCTGGAACACAACAGGTCCTTATGTGCTATGTGTCCTATAGGTTTTCTTTCTACTTTTGATTGAGCAAGTCAGACAATTTTCAAGAAGAAACTGCCCATATGGGCAGTGAGGTATTAATGTCAGTACTTCATAGTTCATTTTATAAGGATTCCCTAAAGCTTCTCTACTCAATATTGTCATATTAGCAATGGATCCAAGTGTTAGAGCTGCAGCAGGCAGCTGTTTTCAGATAAACCCACGGTACACACCCTGCCCAGTTAAAGTTAGCAACTACCTTAGCGACTACCTTGTAAACATGGTGGAGCATTTAGCAGTTAAAGAGCCAGATATTTCCCTCAGGAATTGATGGAGACAAAAAAAAACATAGCTAAAGGAGGAGTGAATATTGGACTTAGATTCATCAGGTGGAGAGAAACGCCTCCAAATTAATTATAATTTTAATCTATTGTGTAAATCAGATGTGTAAATAGGCAACTATTTGCTAACAATTTATCTTAACAATTTAATGAGATGAGAATATGTGTTTCCAGCTTGTTTCACTGCCCCAAGTAGCTGAAAAAATCTATTAATGCTGCTTAAAAACTAGGAACAGCAGCCAGCTCATATGAGGGCACACTCGTGGGATTTGACAGTACAGCTAGGTCTGTTGAGGTTTTACACAAATTAGTCAGGCCCTTTGTAAATGAGAAGGAAATAAGGCCAAACAAAAGCATATTTTAGAAGCATATTGCTGTACTCTTCTTCAGCAAGAAAGATTCACACATACTCATACACAACAAATTCCAGTAAATTTATTGCAGCATTCCACTGCAATGTATACTTAGTCTTTTCCCTCTTCTCTACCAAGTACTCTTCTCTACGTCGGATAGCTGACATAGCTCACCTTGAGATAAGTGCTGGGGAATCTGCGCTGCATGAAGCCAGTGATTGCCTCTGCATCACAGGACGCCTCGGCCAAGTACATCTTCACAGTGAACCCGCTGCCAAACCTGCACAAAGGAGATTTTACGAACAAAGCACAGTGTTATTACATGTCTGAGGGGAGGGGGCGGGGTACACTGCTCTTACAAGTAAAATTGAGCATTTAGTTGCACAAAGGAACACGGGGGAAGAATGGGAGGCTATGGAGGCAGAGTGGGGTGAGCGGTAATAGCCGGATTGGAGGATGAGCAGAGGTCACTAACCTGTTCTTAATGTGCTGCAGGGAGCCCAGGCATCGGAACTGACCTTTCACCATGATGGCAAGACGGCTGCACAGTGCCTCACACTCCTCCATGCTGAGAAACAGAGGCAAAAAGAGAAAGATAAAAGGTCATACTAGGAGTCTTACATACAGCAGTAATTAGTTATGGTTGCTGTCACACAAAAATAAATAAAGAATACATTTATTAGTTATCCTAATTGTTATCTACAGTATACTGTGGAAAAAAGCCAAAAACATAATGTGCTAGAATAAAATGTCATTTCATGTTATACTAGAATCTAGTAATGTGTTTATGAAATGTTTCAAGCTATAGGTGTATGTCTGTGATACTCTTCTAACCTGTGAGAGGTGAGGACCACAGCACATTTTCCTTTCACTTCTTCAGAGATGATTTTCCACAGGTGACGCTTGGTCCGAGGATCCATGCCAGAGCTTGGCTCATCCTGTGGAGAGAGGAGCAATGAGAAGAGGGTAGCAGGGTGTGTGAAAGAAAGACAGGGAGGTTGACATCAAGATAGAGAGATATAGGTGTGCAGCACATACTGTAAGAGAAGGGAAAACCAGGGGTAGGGTGAACAGATGCATGAATGCAAAATAGGATGGGAGATGGGAGGCCCAGTGTTACAGACAAAGCAAGAAAGGGGGAGGTTAAGGGAAAAAAATG